TTCTACCTGTCTTCAATGCTTATTTCATACTGTAAATGCATTCTGTAATTATGTCTCGTCTGTAAATATGTTGAAGTTATGTACAACAAAGCTGTTTTTTTTTTTTTTTTTTTTTTTTTTTTTTTTTTTTTTTTTTTTTTTTTTTTTTTTTTTTTTTTTTTTTTTTTTTTTTTTTTTTTTTTTTTTTTTTTTGCCATTCCTTCCTTTTTCCTGCAGCAGTGGATTTAATGATTTCAGGAGTGTTCCCATTGTTCCAAATGCTATGGAGTCCCAAAGCTCTGACACTCCCTTCCTTCCCCCATCCCTCCCTCTCTCTCTCTCTCTCTCTTTCTCTCTCTCTCTCTCTCTTTCTCTCTCTCTATTTCTGCATGGCCTACCCCACACGTTTTGCCTTTTAGATCAGAGCCATGGTCACACACCTCCACACGCAAATAAGCTCTCATGCAGCTGTAGCTTTTTAAAATCCTTCTCCGTGAAGAAAAATAAAAGGGAGTGGCATAGAAAAAAGGAAATCTCGCTAGATTTAGCACGTATGCCATTTCCTCTAGATTGCTGTGTTAGAGGTTTTGTTGAAATGGCTTAAAAAACTTTTAGACAGCTTTATATTTTCAAACTACAGTTATGTACAAAACAGCATATATTCTTAGCACGGTTACCAGCTGTACTGTTCCTCCTCCTCCTCCTCCTCCTCCTCCTCCTTACTCACGGCTGATAAGGTGAGAAGTGGAAACTTTTCTTTGTGTGGTGACTCACAAGAAAGTCATTGCATCACGTTATCAGGCCAATGATTATGGAAGGGAGAGAGGGAGCAAGCGATGCATTGCTGTTTCGCACACACTACTCAAGGGTGAAATCGCAGAGCTGGACAGGTCAAGGTTGCCCGTCCTTACACACTCTGAACTTGATTAAGCAGTTTGTGCACTATAGACACTCCGAGGAATAATGCATGAGATTTCATTCTGTCATCTGATCCTGACATCCCTGCAGCTATTTTTGTAAATGCAAATGCAGTTTAAACGCAGTTTCATGAAATGTGTGGTGGGCTGGGAAAACCTTACACATCCTCTTTTGACATTTTCCACTATATAGTTATGAAAACTACAGACCTTGCCCAAAACGAAATATGTTTCTCTTTGCATGTGTCTCAATGAGAGGTTACAGCATTTTAAAGTCTGGTTACCCCCAAAAGTGGAAGGGGAGGAAGTTGCATTCATAGATTCCATGCCAACTCCACGAAAAGATGGCTCGACTACCTCTACATTTAGAATGTAATATATTTATGGGGGAAAAATTAAGTTATGTCAAGTTTGTCTAACTTAAAAAAGTGGGGAAAAAAAAGGGGAGGTGACATGTGGCTAACTATGGTGACTTATACTCAGAATTTGTGTGCTGCACTTAACCCATCCAAGTGCACACACACACCCAGAGAGCAGTTGGGGGTTTGGTGCCTTGCTCAGGAGTCTCACCTCAATTGTGGTACTGAGGGTGTAGGAGAGCACTGGTCATTCACTCCCCCCACCTACAATCCCTGCCAGACCTGAGACTCAAACCCAGAACCTACAGGTTACAAGGCTGACTCTCTAACCATTAGGCCACAACTGCCCCCCTTAAGCATATCTGTTTACAATTACACTCACTGCCTCAACCTGAACTCCCACCAAAGTCTCACTCCTGCTTTTGACACACATTACTGAGCCTTATTTTCCTATGTTTTGTATATCCGGGTTTGACTTTGTTTCTGCCTCTTTCTAGTTTTGTCCTTGCCGAGTTCAGCGTGTTTGTAGATCGCTGAACCCTTTGCCTGTTTATCGAGGCTGATTGCTGCCTTTAGTTTGTCTGGGCTGGTTTGTTCAACAAATACTTGTATTTGCATTTAGGCCTACTCCTTTCTGGTACACAGTAAAGTAACCGTTGAATTTTAGTGTTTTAAAATGCACTATATATTTAATATTTAAAACAAAGAAAGTAAATGTTCAATATCTTGAATGTTAAATATTCAAGATTCTGCACTATTTCAAGGGCCCTATTTAATTTTAAGCAAATGTGTGATATTGACCATGTTACCTGCTTTGTGCAAGAAGTCAGATTTTCCTCATGCCTAATCTCTTCTATTGAAGCATGTGTGCAGACGACACACTGGATTTGATCTAAAAATGGATCATAAGGTTTTGCACAAACTTTTGGAGTCCGTGTTAGCTCGAGTGCACACTGCCATTAAAGCATAAAGGGGACGAACTAAGACACTCTGCTTTTCACTCAAATTGTTGTCAGTACTATAATTTGTAATGAAAATTGCTGTATGAACTGTACACTGGGTATTGAAATGCTTGTGACAAGGCTCAAATTTAGACATTGTCAGTACAAACATTTATTAGACATGGACAAACTTTTTTTTTTTTCAAGAGGAAAAAAATTCAGGAGCCAAGATTCTTTTTGCCACAAGAGTGCTGCAGATCATTGAAAGTTAGGACCACTTCATGTTAATACACCAAACAAAGCTTCTTGACCACCTGCTTATCATCTGTGGGAGGCTATTAAAACCGAATGTAACAACATTGCAATGTTTATGTGTAAAAGGCTGCCTGTACCACAAGGATGTCATTATTTGGAAAAAAAAAAAATGAAAAAGGAAAAATTATTCCATATTAATTTATGGTGCGTGTTGCTTCTGTCTTCTAAATTAAAATGAATACATTTCGTGCACTTTTTGCTTGGCCTATATGAGCCTCAGAGTGGTCCGAGCATGCATGAAAGCTAGTATTTTTTAAATTTAGCACTGAATTACATATAATATTAAACTTGCGGACTGTCTTTTACACATGGACATGTTGAACGATCTGCAACGCTGTGAAAAAAAAAAAAAAAGCTCAGTGAATTTGCTTAATTCAAATGTGTACATCAGTTCCACGTGACTGAACTGAGTTACACTGACACATTCTGGTTTCGTACATGGAAGATGATTTGATCGTGTGTTTTAAAATCCCTGAATAAAATCAAACTCCATGCTCTCGCCTGCACTGAGGATTGAATTTGGGTCACTGGTATGCTGGAACAGCCACATTAACCACTGTCCTATTCACCTTAATTTAATTCTTTAGTTATAGATCACATCAGTGCCAATGTTCTCGTCAGATTTCAAAGCACAATTGGTTTACGTTTGCGCTACGTGAATTGATTTACATAATTCAATCTAGCAATTAGAAACTTGTTTAAGTTAAGTTTAGTATAACCAATGAAATCACGGTTTTGATAAGAAACTTAATATTTTTATGTAAACTCTATGTAATATATTCTCTTATATCTGACTGACCACATAGTCCTTTTTTATTTTCAGTGAAGTTGCTGTGTTCTCCTCATGCTGTGTTGGTTTCCTCTGGGTTCTCTGGTTTCCTCCTACGCTTCAAAAACATGCTGGTATGCGGATTGGCTACAGTAAATTTCTACTAAGTCCGAGTGAGTGTGTGCATGGTGTGCTGCGATAGACTGGCATCCCATTGAAAGCATTCCCGCTTCACAGAAGGCTCTCCACCACAACCCTGACCAGAATAAAGCAGTTACTGAAGATGAATGAATAAATAAATGAATGAGTAACCTATTCCATTTAGTGTAGCACAGTTAACCGATAAACTGTATAATTCATCCTTTTTAATGTAGTTTTTTTTTTTTTTATGTTTACCTTTAGTTATATACAATTGCTGCAAAAACTCAATTCTGTATACACAGTAAACATGTTTGTTAGGTTCTTTTAAAAATCACTAAACGACCATTTTCCCTCATTGTCTCACAGTAAACAAATGGTTAGATTTTAATCCAAAATTGGCATTTGCTTTCACCTGTGTGGGAGGGCAGCTCCTAAATGAGATTGACTTAACTCAAATAATAATAATAATAATAATGATAACTCATTTAATAAGTTTGCAGAGTTTTTTTTTTTTTGGATGATCTTGCAATGCATTGTTCACAAAACTCATCTTTTTAAGTTTATGGGAAAAAAAAACATCTTTGGCTAGGTTGAATATGTGTATTAAACATAGTTGTACAGGGTTTTTCATGGATTTTTGCTCAACCAACACAACCAAACCAGTCATTTGAACTTTTTTCAGGTTGGGTTTTCCTGTCCATTTCCATCCATTTTCTGAAGCGCATATCCTGATGGTATTCTTAGTCTCTGACCTCGTGAACCAGCGTCAGGATGTATTTACTGATAGAGACTTCAGTGCACTTCTGTAAGTTGCTTGGGATAAGCGTGTCGGTCAAATTCCATAAATGTAAAGTGTTATCCTACACAAGGTTGTATGGCAGCCTATCCCATTGGATTTGGGGCACAAACCCATCACAGGGTGCAGGTTACACAATGCCAATTAGCCTATAATCCATGTCTTTGGATAGGGGGGAAACCTACAGGATGCTGGGAGAACATGTAGACTCAACACCCAGCAGAGGTGGGACTCGAACCTGCAACTCCACCGCGTGGGAGGCGAACGTGCTAACCATTAAGCCACCGTAGCCCCTCCCACGCCTCTACTGTATGTCATTTATAATATTGTTCTTAACGCTGGCGCGAGCTGTTGTCGCTCAGTCAGGATAGGAGGACGGGTTGCCGCGTGGGCTGGTCTGTGTGTGTGTGTGTGTGTGTGTGTGTGTGTGTGTGTGTGTGAAGGTAAAGGGGGCGGAGGGGAAGTGCGCTTTTGTGTGAATGGGACGCGACCGTGTCGGCGGTAGCTCTCCTGCGTCCTGACAACAACGACAACACGGGGGGTGAAAAAAAAAGCGACCGGGAAGAAGGTTTATCTGTTTGCGTTGCGTTTTTCGCTTCAACTTCAACATTAATGACTTCATTCTTCCTGTTTCATGTTCTTATTGCGCACTGAACATGTGGCTGTAGTGTAAAGTAGGGCGAAGTGGCTCTGGTAGGAAGACAACACTGGGAACCTGAGGCTGGGCTGCAGTAACACTGAGAGGTACTGTACTGTTCACTGCACCCACTTTTACTCCTGTTTACCCAGAAAGGAGACACTTTAACCAGGTTTGTCTTGTGTGTTTGCTGTTCTGTAAGCTGTGAGTGCAGGATAACTGTGTTAACTTCCTCGCTTTTTGTCCTGTTAATGCTCTTTTCATATCAATATACTGACATGTGTAATAATATACACAGTTCTACCAGTGCTTAGTCTTATTAAAACTAATATTTCAGCGTTATTTATGATCACACTGAACCTGGGAAAGATAACACAATGACACAACTTAACACAAAAGCCTGTCTTACTCTTCCAGTATAGGGTTTCTTATATTCTTGTGAAATGGATCAGACACATCAGACACAGAGAAGGGATCTGATAACAGATCTGAATCTGAAATATGACAGTGTTCCTAAAGTAGCTCATTTAAAAACAAACAAACAAACAAAAAAAAAACATCTCATGCCAGGTTGTCAATCATACAGTGCTTGGGAAATCTCAAGGAAAAAAAGCTGTGGTGCACCAGGAGACATGCATGCTCTTGTTTTCCTGTAATGACACATGGTAGGTGCTGATTAAACCTTTGGTCTGGGTGTCTTGAAAGGAGAGTTTTTTTAAAGACCCAGCTCTATCAAAAAGCCCGTCGTTTCCCTTCAGTGTTGCTGGCCGTGGTGGTGAACTTCCCGTTTCCTGGGAAAGACAAACAATGGGAGAACGGAGGACATGTGACATCCGGGCTATGTCTGAAGCTGACAGACTGCAGACCAGATTTAGACCGGTGCCCTGACATCTAATAAAGCTGATCTTTCTGCAAAGTGGTAGACAGGATTGGGATATTTGAAGCAGACGATGTTGGAGGCGGGCAAGAGAAGTGCACACGCTTCAGAAGAGGAGAGAGAAAGTCTCTCGTCAGATAGGGACTGGGTTGTGAATTAACAGGTGATGCATTACTTGAGGGCAGACATATTGTTCCTTACATTTCATGCAGGCTTGTAATGAGGCTGGTATTGTACTGATCATGAAAAGAGCACACACCACACCACACACACACACACACACACACAAACAAACAGAACAAAAGCAGACAGGCATTGTGCTGATTGTTGGTCTCGGATGTTCAGTTGCCTTTAATGCGGTCAGCTGTTCCAATTCAATAAAGCTATTAACAGACACAAAAGATTGAATTCCAGCCAACACACATGAGAGTCATTTGACTCTCATGCTACATTAATGGTCTCACATAGAGAAGTCATGCTTTTAATGTTTAAAAAAAAAAAAAAAAAAAAAGGCGCCAACCTTTTGTACCTAGATTTTACTATATGCCTTATTCAGCCTGTTCAGTGTTATTTGTTAGAGAATTTGACTTTGGATGCCACTCCGCTTGCCATTTTCACTCTTTCTGCATTTCAGGCATTTTCTTTCACGCATTTACGATTAGCGAACGTTGTCATATGATACAGTTGTAAATCCAGTCCGGGTTGTGATGACTAATCTGGCCAAATTTATAGTGACATCACGTCGGACAGGTTTTTAAATGCAGGCGCTGCACAAAGGATATCTCAGTCGTGCTTGTGAAAAGACAACAGATTATCGTAGAATCAGGATCTGAAAAGCGCACTACTCACACCGTGTTTTCTAATTTGTTTA